CACAACAAAGAACATTAAGAATGATTTTTAAAAATATTTCAAGAGTTTATTTTTTTCAAATCCCTTGCATCTTTTTCTTTTTTTTTTTTTTTTTTTCCTTCCCCCCCGGTAACTCCAGATGGATTAGATATAAAAATCAAACAGTTTTACAGGCTTTGGAGAGACAAAGCCTTTGGATTTCACAAGCGTGCGTCCACTTTTAGAAAGCTGGCTGCCCTTTCCGATACCATAAAGTGAAAATGTGACTGCTAACCAGGAGCGTTGCGTACGCGTGTGAAGACAGGTCAGCCCCAACCCGGCTGTGTTTGCACAAGCTTTCTCCCTACGGTTCGGCTCCCCGCGCCGTGCCGGGATTTACGCAGTCTTTGCAGAATGTCCATAGCACGGCAACAAAACACGGGGTTTTTTTGGGGCAGGGTCTGCCGGAGGAGCGGGGAAATGGAGTTTTTCCCTCCCTACCTTCATTCGTCCTGGTGATCAGCCTGAAGTTCTGTGCTTCTTGCTTGAACTCTTGTTTGCTGATCTTCTTGGTCTGTATCAGATGAAATATGCCTGCGGAGGGAAACACAGGGAAACACATCAGACTCTGCGACGCTCAATTTCAGGCTCAGAGGGGTTTGGATGCACACCGTTCTGTCCCCTCCTGAGATGGAAAAGGGACACGGGCTGCACTGGATGCGCTGGGGTCCTGGTTTGGTGTAGGATCTGCTGCCAAAGCCTGGTGGGAGTTTGGGAGCAGATCCAGGACTGGCCAAGGACCAGGAGAAATCTCATTTGAAAGCGGTAACTGGTTGTTAAATCGGAACACCACAAAGTAGGTGAAAGAATAAGATTCTATTGCTCTGAAAAGCATCTCGCACAGGAGGAGGTCTCATCTCCCCCAAAACCATATGAGAAATTAAGGTGAGACCAATGGGAACCCTCTCTCTCTCTCTCGCTCTTGACCACCTACCTTCCCTGACTGCAGAGGCCCCTCCATCCTCAGATGCTTTCCTTTCCTGGAAGCAGCCGAGGACCAAAGTTTTCCATCTCTCTGCCCCCAGCCCTGAAACTCCTCCAGGACAGGAAAAAAAAAAAAAAAAAAAACAACCCACGAATGACCTCAGCAGAGATTGATATTTCTGTCCGTGCCAGCACCGTCCCGTTAGCGGAGGTGCCTGACTCAGACATTTGACCCAAGAAAACCAGAACCTGCATTTAGCAACGGAAGTGACCTTTCTGCAGGATTAGGGGTTACGATATTCATATTTGCCTGCGAAGCGTGACAAACCAGGCAGGTATGCCTGGCATATCCTTCCCCACCTCTCACCCCGGCTCCCCGTGCGTCCAGCCTCTGGCTACCAGCAGATGTGAGAACCAACGTGGTCCCCCTTATTTGGTTAAGAGACTTTCCCTGATTCCCAGCAGCAATTACACATAAAAAGAGTATGTAACAAATGAGAACCGGCTAGCAAATCCATATAAACGAGATGTTATGGACTGTGGAAAATGAATACAGGAAGTCAAAGACATCCGGAGAAATATGTGGATATTTGGACTATTAATAAAGTCCTTTAAGTGGGTCAGGAAAAGAAGTCCTACCAGTAACAAAAGAAGATACGGGACGGAGATAATAAAACTGTTAATGACGCAAGAAAAGCACAAGTGTTCAATAAATCCTCCTGGTCTATACTTAGAAAGGGGCAGAAGGGTGTGCTTATAGTCCCCGTGGCTGATGAAGCACTTTCCAGTACATTAGTAACCAAGAGGATATTTTAAACAAGAGCTAGAAGAGATAAACATCTTTTAATCAACCGACCTAGATAATGTTCACCCAAGAGCCCTCGGAGAGCTGGCTGAGACCTTTGGCCCCCCGGACGGTCGTTTCTGACAGATGCCAGGAGCTGGGGAGCAGCGGAGGAATGCAGACGGATGGTCCAGCACGCACAAGGAGAGCTCGAGGCGGCGCAGATAAGAATAGCCCACTGTGCCTGCCATCCGCCGAAAAGGCAATACGGGATGGAGCTGGTAAAAGGTGACGCCGTTTCTCGGTGAGCAGATCCTGTCCACCAGACAGGATCGTTCTTTGCAAAGTTTAGGAGGAGATGGAGGGAGGTGGGGGGGCTGTCGGGCACTTACCACCTTTCTTGGTGCTTTAAAGGGGGCCGACAGGAAAGATGGGGGCAGACTTTTTCACAGTGCCTGTAGCGATAGGATAAGGGGTCTTCAAACTGAAAGAGGGGAGATTCAGACTGGATCTAAGGAAGAAATGTTCTGCACTGAGGGTGGTGAGACACTGGCCCAGGTTGCCCAGAGAGGTGGGAGATACCCCATCCCTGGAAACATTCCAGGCCAGGTTGGACGGGGCTCTGAGCAACCTGGTCTAGTTGAAGATGTCCCTGCTCATAGCAGGAGATTGGACTAGATGGCCTTTAAAGCGCCCTTCCCACCCAAACCATTCTGTAATTCTATGCTTTAAGCTCTGCCTCAGGACCAAAAACCAAGCAGAGTCCAGTAGAGCACAAGGAACGAGTTGAGGACCAGCCCTATCTCCAAGGGAGCACTTAATCTTTCCTAATTTTGGAGAGATAAGCTCTTCCACAGAGCCATTCTGCCCATCCTGAAATGGATGGGGGTGGACACACCTTCACTGCTTCTCAGTGCTGATCCCATGGGGAACCAACATGACTCTTTAAATACGATACCTAATGCTGGGCTGAGGAGTGAAGCGGGTCTCATTCAAGAAACTGGTCTCAGTACTTGCTAAATCATCTGCAAAACAAAGCTTCAGCAGGTGGACAGAGATAGGAGCACAGGTGCACTTGGGTATATGAGACCCATCCCAGCAGGACACAATCTTTGACCGGCGCCCTGCACCCTGCTTTGGGCTCTGAACTTCAAGAAAGACACAGAAGGAGTCCAGAGTAGAGCTATGGGGAGGACCAAAGGACCAGAAATTTCTAACATCAAGGAAAGACTGAAAAAACTCAACTGCTTAAACCATGTAAGAGAGGACAGAGGCAGGACCTGATGGCCTCTTCGGAGGAAAGGAGACTGCTCTTCACACCTGCGGTGGAGAAGGTGAGAAACCATGAGCTTGAGCTGCAGAGAGGCTGCACGTTGGGAATAGTCTTCCCTTAGCAAGGGGTTTGTAGCCCTGGAAGAGATTACATGGGCTATTGAGTCTCCGTAGCAGGAGATCTTCAAGCACATGCCAGAAGAGTGTGAGGACAACTGGTCCAGACCCTGCAAGCCCCCTCCAGCCCAAATGTGAGGGTATAGCAGCGTGATGAAGCACTGGGTATTGCTGAAGGTCCCAGAACTGCAGGTTTTCAGGATAGCAAGGAATATTTTGGCCAACGTCTAATCAATAGCCTGGCAGGGTAAATGTGGGAAAGACGTCCATGGCAGAGACCACACCTCCAAGTACAGCCCAGGCAGGGTGAAGGGCAGGAGTCAACGACAGAGTCTCCAAACCATGCTGGTCCCTCTGTGATCCTGCCTGTTCCTTTGGTGTCCTCACTCCCCATGATAATTCCTGCTCTAAAAGATCAGCAAGTCTCATTTCAAAACTTCTGAGGTGTTCAGACCCCTAAAAACATGGGGAAGCCCCCACTGCAACTCATCTTGCAGCTGGTGGTTAAAGCTCTCAGCCGGGTGTTGGCACTGGTTTCTCCTCCCAACTCCTGCCTTGTGGAGGAAACCATCCCGGCACAGAAATAGATGAGGCCACGTAGGTATCGTAAGCCCATACAAAGGCAGATGGATGGGTTCCAGGCGCGACTTGAAGCCTCTTTTCTCCACACATGCTGCTCTGTTGGTAGAGTGATGGACCATGGAGAGGTGGAATCCATATGTGACTGAGCTCATGCTCTTTCCCAATAGTAACACTTTGCTCTGCCAAGCAAAAGAGCTGTGTTGGCCTCGGGGACAAGGGCCTCCCCTGTCCTTGGCTGGCAGGGCTCGGGAGCTCCGTGCAGACGTGAAGCTTTTGGCCTCAGAAGGTGGCGAGAAGGTTTGGGTGGCGACCTCTGCCAAGGAGCGAGGAAAGGAAACGGTGGGGCCCAGACAGTGCAGGCTCAGAGCTGTCCTCCAGCTACAAGGTGCCATTGTGAAGGAGGCTTTGCTGAGGCAGGGGGGAGGACAGGGAGAGGGGCACAGTGGAGGATGGAGGATAGCAGGGGAAAGATGGAAACATGGTGGCAGCCACAGCTTCATCTCTGAAGTTAATTTCTCCAGCTACTATCCACATGTGCCTGCCCTTGGCAGCTGGGAAGAGCCAGCCCCAGCAGGGCTGAGGAGTCCGTAGAGAGAAAGGTGAGACGTGAACATACCCAGGAGACCAGAATATCTGCCTATACACGTCCGGAAACCACCCAGCTACACGGGATGTCGCTATCTACAGGCAGGGTGCAACCAACATCAGCTGCTCAAGGCACAAGTTTTTGCAAGGGGTAGAGTATGTCCAGCGAAGACTCGGGGTTGGGGCACTGGATGCTTTCCCAGGCCCAAGAGAAAGACAACACAAATCTCTACCGGACCAAGTGTCTCTAGTAGAGATAGGCTTCTCTGGTCCGTAAGAGTGTTGTAAAGCTAAAGCTATGGGGACAGAGTAAGAGACTGGTGTCATTTCATGGTGCGTTTGCTGTGCTTTGACCTCTGGAGGACACACCAACAGAATCATCCAAATCCACCTATCCAAAAAGTGGGCTGGGGGCAATTCATCCCACCCCCATGCACCTTTGCAGCAGCTCTGCAAGTGTTGCTCCCAGTGATGGGTGGACTGGGGTGGGGGGGGGAAGAGCAAAAGCAAAAATATGGAATCACCAGAACAATGTTTTGTTTTCCATGTGCGTTTGGCATGGAAGCGGGCAGGTTTGGAGGAGTAGCCCCATGGCCCTTGCCTTGTTTGCCCACGTGCTGTGCCTCCGGATGGTGATGCAGCTCATGGCAACGCTGGGTACGCTGGGGCCAAAAAGTGGTTTCCAGCCCCTGCTCTGTCTGAAACTGCAGCGAAAGAGTGCGAAAGGGGGAGTTAGAAAAGCCAGCCTGCTGTCAGCAGGTTTCGACTCGCTACACAAGGTCTGGAGCACCACTAGAAAAGCCTGAAAAACAGAACAAAGCTTGGAAAGCACCAGGTTTCCACACACACCTCCTCCGTTGCTGGCTGGTTTCCTGACAAGACTCACCTTTAATCAGCTTCCAGTTGTAGATTTCCACCTCTTCTGCAGGCTCCTTCTCGATTGCGATCGTCCTGAGGATCTCCTTGGAGGTCTCTGAGCTCGATGGCACAAACATGTACACCAGGACGCGGTTGGGGTTCTTGCCACACCGGGTGGTGACTATTTCATCAGTGGGTTTGACTCTGGTTTCTGGGCAAAAACAAGGATAGAATTCATTAAATAGGGGCAGGAAGAAGCTTGGAGGAGGTCATCTCAGCACTCGAGGGAAAGGCATCTCATTGGGTTTGATGCCATGCGGCACAGCCATGTCTCTGCAGGGGACCTTGCCTCCCAGGGTCTGATCCCCAGTGATAAGACTGGCAGCAAACGGAGAGGTTCATAAAGGATCTGTGGAGCCACTCATCCCCATATTTTCCATTCCCCTTGATTTTGGCAGCCTCTGTGCCAGCGGGGATGGAGAAGGGGGATTTTCTCCACCTGGATCCCCCGTACCCACTGCAGGGACCTCGGTGCCATCATCACCGCGAAGCCCCCGGCTGGATTCCCTACTTCCCATCTCGCTCCCGCTGCTGTCCCGGAGGAACAACGTCAGTGAAGCGAAGGGATGAGCCCGCAGCACGGGAGCCAGCGCCGTGTCTGGGCTGCCTGGGCAGCGCGCGCAGCTCAGCCCCATGGGTGGGCTCAGCCCCAGCCCCCTCCTCACGTAGGGTGCAACGGTGGGGACACCCCCACCAGGACCATCGGTGGGACCCTACGTGACTTTTTCAACATCCCTGGCGAAGGACAGCGGCTAATTTTTTAATTCTTTTTAATGTATCTGGAGTAATTAAGAATCCCCCACGGTTTTGGAAGGAGATTTATTGCCTTTGGTTGTGGTCCTTGGAACACAGAGCAGCCCAGCTCTGCTGAATTTAGCCTTGTTCTCCCCGTCATTTTGGATGCTGAAGCTTTTTACACTACTCGAAAGAAAGTTTGGCTATAAATAGACGCGTGGGGTTTATTTTAGTAGGACAGTTATTTTAGGCCGGATTCTGCTCTCCCCTGTGCTTTCTGGGGCCGTCCTGAGCTACTCTTCTCAGAGAGGGGATGGAAATCCCAATTCAAAGGGATGCGAAGCCAGGCTTTTTCAGCAAGGGGAAGAGAAGCGTTCAGCTCCACAGGCTCAGCGTGATGGAAAGGGGGACGATCACAGCCCACCACCCTCTCCCCTGCCACCGCGAGGTCCGGGCGCAGGAAAACCTCTGCCCCAGATCATTATCCAGGGCTGCTCTTTGCATCAATCGAGGCAGCCCCACCTTGACGACAGGGAAGGAACCACACGTCCTGGAAGGTACAACAGGTATTTAACAACCTCAGAGCCTCACGCTGGAGCCACTTGATGGCCAACAGCGTTGGGGAGGAGGAACAGGGACCCAGGGGTCCCTGCCACTAGCTCGGTCCCCAACAGCTGCGATGGTTTCCCCATCTGACCGATGCATCGCAGCAATTCCCTTTGATCAGTGTCCCTTTTTCAAAGAGAAATCACTCAGCGGTTCTCTCCAAGCTACTGGAGGAAGAAGAGGAGGACAGTCATGGAAACTGCCTGGAAAAAGAAGATGGGCGAAAGCTCCGTGCAGTGAAACAGAGGACAAGCATGTAACTTGGCTGAGCGATGTCTATGGGTGTGCGATTGCTATCTATGAGTACTGGAAAGCAAGAAGAAAATCATTTTGGCTAGGTCAGAGTGTTTAATTGGAAATAAATGAAGGCTGAACAGCAGACAAGAGATCCCAGCAGAGAAAGTTGTAGACTTTAAACCAGAAAGACCCACTATAATGAGAATGCAAGACTGGAAGGGCTCTGCTCAGTCATCACATCCCATTCCCACCATGCACCATGTCATAAATCCTGCTCATAAACATATCAGAAACCTTATTAAAACAAGCTGAGCTTCTGCCCTTCGTTCCCCCGGGGAGGCCATCCCAGAACCTCTCTGCTCAGAGGCTGGAAAAGCTTGAAAATCCCAGCTAAAATGATTTTGCAGCCTGTTTGCCCCCATTCTTAAACGTGGCAGTGCCCCTTGCTTGTTCTCCCTGGTGAGACCCCTGCACAAAACCACCTTGAGGATGCACATCAGAGGAGATCTATAGTCAGGCTCAAAGAGACTCGGGTGTCTTTAGCCTCTCTAGGCAAGCAGTGGGTGGTCCATCATCTAAACATCTACTGCTGAACGATGGCACAGAGAGGTATAATCTAGAAAACATTCTGCAGTGGGAACAGGAGAAGATCTCATGCCTTGCCACATCTTTGCCACGTCTGTGGTTTAAGACAAACAGCTTTCCAAAGACGAAGAAGCAGCTGAGAGACCCCAAACCCATTGAACATGGAAAAATAAAGAGGTCCTCTCCACCATGTTCCAGCCCCAACACCAGCCCAGTTCCACCTGGCCCACCCCAATAGCTGTGTGCCTAACCCTCCCCTTCCAGGGGTGGGGACCTCAACCAAACCATGAGTGCCACAGATAATCCCGCATTTGGAAAGTGTCCTTCTAATTCAAACCTACATTTAAGCTGCCACAATTTAACCCTATGACTTCTTGTCCCAGCTGGAGGTCTGGAGAACAGTCTGTGCCCTCTCCCCAGAAGACATCGTCCATCTGTCTGAAGGCTCTTAGCATCTTTGGGCATCTTTCTCCACACTACACCCACCCAACAGATGCAACCTTTTGGGATCAGTGCAGCTTCCTCACCTTGGCGTGCTGCCCTCCAAGACAGGGCATCCCTTACAACAGTGCTTGCCCTCCTGAACTCACCTGTTGTGAATTCAAGTCACCAGTGATGTGAACACCTACACATCTGCTCTGGGCTTTAAACCAAGGCTAAAGGAAGGAACTAGAAGGCAGACACAGCAGCAGGTGGGATCTCACCTACCTGGACATATTTTACAGCATTTTCCATCTACTTTCTCTGGATAGTCACATGGATACTCCTTGGGGCATGTGATCTTCTGGCAGTCTTGGACACCGTCCCTGCAAGTGCAGAGGATGCAGGGCAGGAGACCGTAGAGCCGGAAGACGGGGTGCCACACTTCCCCGTGGGAGTAGGTCTTCCCGTTGTAAACACAAGCTGGTGGAGAGAGAGAAAAGAGTTGCTGACGGAAATAAATCCTCCTCTCTTTGTACACCCAAGGCTTGGTGGAGCTCAACACATTTCACCACCTCAGGAACGGGTGGCCCTGCTGTCTTGAGGAGCATGGTCCTCTGGCAGCACATCTGGCAGCAACAAACACTGAGATATTGCAGCCACCCCACCCAGAAGGTGCCATGAGGCAGGGGGACCAGGTTCCAGGAGATGGAGGCTGCTGGGGTCAACCATCCTGGTGGGGGCGAGTGTTAAGTGTGGTCAGGACCTCACCTGCCTTCAAGCCTCTGCAAGCCCAGGGTCTCTCCGAGGCTGCCACAGGCATGAAGCACAGCGAAGAGTGCCACCTGCTGACTCCTCCATGAAAATTTTTGGAGGTCCCAAAATTTCCTCCAGGGCGTCATCTCCAAGGACTGGAAAGAGCCCTTCTGGAGACACGGCGGGGGGGGGAGCCCCCAAGAGAAGAAGGGACCTGTCTTTTCCCCTTTGGATCCATGGGGTTGCCTCCTCATCTCATTTTCCTACTCATTCCTCCAGGAGAAAGACCGCAGCGCTGGGACAGACCCAGCAAGTGGTGGGTAGGTGCAAGGAGGAACATCCTATCCTTCTGCGGCACTGTCCTAGAAGGACCACATGGAGTCTTCCAGCTGAGCACCTCCCTCCCCAGGTCCCAGATCTCCAAAACACCCCAAGGACAAATCTTATTCCAACCCATTTTTGAAAGTGGTAGATTCATGCAGTCAAGAGGCTGTGGGCAACCAGGGCTGAGATAGCTGGGTGAGGAGTGGGGGGTGGGACTTGGTGGTGGAACACTGCTGCTGAAACACATTCCCTGGACAATTCAAAGTCCTGGTAAAGTCACCTTAGACCATGTACAGACTGCCTGGACTTCCATCCCTTACCTTTCTTGTGCTTCTCTTTCAAGACGATCTTCACGGTGGTGCCACCACCTCCCTTGGGTTTGAAGCTCCTGGGAATGAACTCCAGGGAAGAACTGAGAACAGTGGACATGGTGGCTCCGGGTGGCTTCCTGGCAATCGCTTCCCCCAAACACTGGTCTTGCGAGTGCCTCTGTGAGCAGTCAGAGAAAAGAAGGGGACTTAGACCCAGACAGTTGGGTTGTTCTCACTCCAAAGCATGCTGGAAAAAGCCATGCACACCTTCCATGAGGAGTGGAAGGTCCAGGGACCACAGGGATGAGCAATGACCCAGGAGCCATCTTGGTCCCTGCAACCGCCCAACGGTTGCTGAGCAGTTTGTGTCAACGCCCCACGCTGCTGTGCTCCCTGTGCTGCATGTGGGTCACCTTCATTGGGGCAGCACACTTCTCATTCCACACTCAACCCAATGCCCTCAGGTGAGGTCCTACCTCACTAACACAGGCAGGGAAATGGGCTAGTCTTTTCTAGATGTCTGCTGGGAAACAGAGGACTGCCATCCATGCAACCCAACCAGCATCAGAGAGGTAAGGATGGGTCGTATCCTGCCCTCTCACCTGGCTGGCACCAGGGGGGTTCATGCGGGGCTGCCAGCCAGCGGGACTGAAATCCCGGGAACATCCCGGTCTTCCAAGAGCAAACTGTTGGGACAAGACATACAGCACAAAGGGTCCCCTTGTGTCTATTTTGGAGGTTTTTATAGGTGGTGGAGGTGTGACGCTGGCGTTTCACCCAGCAGTATGGAAAAGGGCAGGGCCAGGAACTGTAAGTGACCTAATCCCACAGACCTGGCATGGGCTGCCCAGCTCTGAAATGTCACCGTGAATCCACCCTCGGCAGCCAAGGAGTCACTTTTTCCTTGCTGGGCCTGCTGATACAAACAGCCTGGGGAAAGCATGCTGGTAGCCAACTCCAGCACTGGCTGCACTGTGGGAGCTATGACTGGGAGGCAGGACACCTTTGAGCCCAGGGTGGAGAGGAGACACCATCTCCTGAAGCAAAAGCTCTCAAAGAGAGATTTGGGCCATCTGACTCCATGGGTAAGGGTCATGTCCGGTTGCCGGTCACCTCTGAGTCTGCTCTGTCCATGTTCCTCAGCTGCTTCACTGGCCAACCTCAGGCAGGTTGGCCAACAAGGAGGAAAATTGCCCAAGATTTCTAGTTCACACAGGTCTTTTGCTCTTCCAAAGACATCAGAGGTGCTTTAGAGGAAGAGGGCAAGAGTCTTTCCCTGGTGGTCTGAGGTCTCAGTCTATGCTGATAGCCCTCACCTAGAGTCAACACCAAGATATAATTCAACTGCAAACCAGGCATCTGTGGTTCTGCTGTCCAAGGAACTGACTACCCTTCCAGAGCTGCTGTGGGTCATTTCTTTGCAGAAGGCTATGGTCAAGGACAAATGGCTTTCTCTGTGCTGTGCTAGAAGCAATAATCTGAGTTTTAAAATGCAAATGTCACGTACAACACCTCTGTTTAACTGCAGGGGTTCCTCCTCCGTGGACTTCTCATATGAGCCATCTGCAAGGGAAAAACATTGCCCAGTGAAATGCTGCAGGGCTGGATGACGATTTGCTCTTCAGGGTCCAACTGACTAAAAGCAGCTCTCTTCAGGCTGCTGGCCCACCTGCGAGGTCTGGAGAGAGAAGAGCTTCGAATATGCGATTCACATCACCCAAAACAAATGGGGGCCATACCCAGAAAACCCCTTTTATCCCCACTGACTATTAACAAGAGCTCAGCTCCAAGAAAGACATGGCCTTGTAGCTTCTGAAGTTAGGTGGTACCCCAGAGGTAGAATATGAGGAGATGGGGATGATCTGGCATCAAAAAGAAATCCAAAGACATTTCTCACCAAGTCAATGACATGCCCCAGCTGCACCAAAGAAAACTAGGAGAGAGAAACACAAATTGCAAAAGGGAAGAGTTTGGAGGAGGGACCTGGAGGAGGTCATTCTGTGTCCATGGCCAGGAGACCACCACGGCCTTTCAGCTTCATAAATATTTCTCGTATTAAAGAGTCATTTTATGCCATGACTTCGTTGTCAGCAAGGTGTGAACCTGCCCATTCGCTCTTGAGTCTGCCTCATCTGGAGACACGGAGCTTGATTCTTTCCTCACCCTCCCCAGGTGTGAGTCAGGGGAAACAGCAGCAAATTCAAGAATTTCTCCCCCATGGAGAGCTGTGGGAGTGAAACTCAGCCATGCCGTACTGGAGTAGAAGCTGGTGGGCTTCCCTCACTGTCCTAGAAACTTCCCTGGAGCAACAGCAGCAGGCACAATCTTTACATGGTCCATACAACCATCTCCATCCTGGTGGGTAAGTGGTTTGGAGGACTTTGCCCTCCATGCAGGTCATATCTCTTGCATGATGCCCCAGTGGCAGGGCAAAGAGGTCAGCTCTGGCTAACCTATGGGCTGCAGGGAGGCAGGACACAGCCAGGTGTTGGAAGGGAAGCATGCAAGAAAAAAACTGAACCGTCATCTTTTGTTTCCTGGTGCAACCAAGACACAGCAAGTGGCCTGATTTACAGCACAGGCTTCCAAAATCCTGCTGGA